AGCAGCAGCGTGAAGGCCAGGAGGTCCAGGAGGAGGCCAAGGAAGATGACGGTGACCACACGGCGCTCCGGCGGCTGCTGGCGGATGGGTGGGCGCGGGGTGCAGCCTCCACCCCCTCCCCATCCCATGGTGGCTGCTCCAACCTGGCCTGGCTGGGATGCGGCAGGTTGGGTGAGGGGGGAAGCCGAGTCCTGCAGGGCCCGCTACACCCCGACCCCTGATAGCCGGCGAGCGCCCTACATCTCTGACAGCAGGGTCTCAGGCCTACCCGACACAGGGGCCGTTCTGGGCTGCGCGATGCCCCCGCCCCGACCCAGGCAGCAGGAAACAAGAGCTTCGAGGGTTGCGAAAGAAATCGCAGCCGCAAAGGCAACGGTCCCCAGGGACCGGGATGAGGACGTCGCGGTCTCGGCTCCACCCCGCCTCACGGCCACGCCTCCCACGCCCTCGTAACAGAGCGGGAGAGGCAACTTGAGGCCGGGGGACTCGAACCCCAACCCTAGCCCACAGCCCCAGATTCAGGCCCTTGGCCCAGGCTCGGCCTCCTTGGTGGGGACCATAGCGTACACTCCGGACGCGGGAGCGCCCCCAAGCCCGCGAGCCCCCGGTCCCGCTCCCTAATCCTGCGCACCCCTGGTCCCGCCCCCCAAAGCCGCCACCCCACACGCCCCCGGTCCAGCTCCCCATCCCCGCGCGTCGCCCACCCCACCCACACCCGGCTCGTCCCCGTCCCGCCCCGCACCTGCCGCGGCTGCGTGCTCGGGACCGACGTCGCGGAACTAAGCGCGAGGCACGCTGCCGGGGGCGGGGACGGCCACGCCCCGGAAGTGACGAACATCTCGTACGCCGTCTTCCGGCCGGAGGCAGTGACGAATTCGCGTGGGCCTCGCGACTCGCTGATCGGCTGCGGTTTAGCAGCGCCCTGACCCGAGCGGAAGAGCTGTTGGGGCGAGGACGGGTTCCGCGTGACCCCGAGGCCGAGACTCCCGGCCTGGCCCCTTGGGCCCACGCCACGCGCCCGGCCGAGCGGACGCGTGGGTCTGAGGTGCGGGTGCGGGTGCGGGGCCTCCAGCGAGCGCCGGCGCAGCCTCTGCCCCACGCCTCTGCGCCCTGCGGGCCTGGCCTTCCTCGTGGAAGTACCGCGGGCTTCGGGGTCTCACCCGGGGGGCTGACTCCTGCCACACGTACAGCGGCGGCCTCGGGCCTGGGGCGGCAGCACAGCCACTCTGCTCGGAGCTCGTGGGCTGACCCGCTGTCTCTGTGCAGCTACTTTTTCTGTGTCTGCTGCTGAGCCTGAAGTCCCAGGACAGGCGGCCGAGGAGGAAGGATGGTGTGGGTTAGGTGGGCAGAGACAGTGAAAGCCACGGGACCCGGTTGCCACCTTTTCGGCGTCCTGGGCCTCGGCCTGCAGCCCCGCTCCCTGGGTCACCGAAGGAGGAGCTGGCGCTCTTGCTGGACACAGAAGCACCTGGCCCAGCGCTGGAGGAAACGGTCCCCCTCGACTGGAGGAGCTTTGGGCCTGGCTGCTGCCCCTGCCCGTGCCCGTGCTCCAGGGCCAGCACACTCACGGAACCGCGCCGACACCTGGCCTGCAGCCAGCTCCCACCTCCCTCCCACCTTCTGTAATGTCCGCGGCTCTCTTCTGGCGGACCCCAACCAGATACACATGGGGAAAGGAATCAGGCGGCACACATTCTGCCTAACAGATGCAGCTTTCCGCCTGCAGCCAAAAGACAATCTGTTATTAGCTCTTTCCCCAGAGGACAGGCATCCCTATGAAACTGCCATTGCAGAATTTTAACAGACGAAAGATCTGACCTAACCAGCCCCATCTTGCTTATAACCTCCAGGCTGCCCTTGTTCATTCCTGGGCATAGGCTGAACTAACTTTGGGAGGACCTTAATCTAAGACGAAGGTGCTCACAGCCCTTTCCCAAAAGAAACCGTTCCTGGGGACTTGACTCCCTTTGTGGGACTAACAGATGAGCCGCAAGGTTAGAAATTATGGTTTAGGAGTCATGCAGCTGGAGGCTGCAGGATTCTAACCCTCCCCAAACTGTTGCTGGGGCTAACATCACTATTGTAAAGCCCAAGACGACTGAGATATTTTGCGACCCTCCCTGCGCTTGATGAATCAGCTGGCACCACCTAGGCTCTTCCGATCTTCTGGCCCCCACCCAGAGAACAACTTTGAATCCCTGATTTCATGTCTGACCCAGTCAGTCAGCACTCCTGACTCACTGACTGCCCCCACCCACCAAGTTATCCTTAAAAACCGGCGCAGTGGCGCTCATCTGTAATCCCAGCACTTTTGGACACACGAGGTCAAGAGATTGAGACCATCCTGGCCAACATGGTGAAACCCCGTCTCTACTAAAAATACAAAAATTAGCTGGGCATGGTGGTGCGCACCTGTGGTCCCAGCTACTTGGGAGGCTGAAGCAGAATTGCTTGAACCCGGGAGGCAGAGGTTGCAATGAGCTGAGATCACACCACTGCACTCCAGCCTGGTGACAAAGTGAGACTCTGAAAACAAAAAACAAACAAAAAAAACCCTCTAATCCCCAAATGCTCAGGGAGACTAAGTAATAAAGTCCAGTCTCCCGCACAGCTAGCTCTGCATGAGTTACTTTTTCTCTATTGCAAATGCCCTGTCTTGAAATTGGCTCTGTCGAGGTAACCCCACTGGGTGGTTACACCTTTACCCATGCTTCCAGGTGGATCGCCCGCCCTTTTCAATGCCGGTATGTTCTGTCCGGGAATGGATAACAGGGCCTCAGTGGAGAGCCTGGTGCCTGCTGGTCCCACTTTTTCCTGCCCTGTTCTTTTCCTCTTTGCTTGGACAGTTGGGCGACTGCCCCGAGTGCAAGGGCTTGGTGAATTAAAGTGCAGTAGCCGTGTGGCAGAGAAAATGTGTAGGTGGGTGAAACCCTGCAGCCATAGGTGTTAACGGCATCCTGGGCCTACACAGGGACAAGGGGGATAGCCAGCCAGCCTAGCTGGTGGATGTGACAACCCTAGACCCTTCTAGATTTGTGGACCCACGCACCTGCCAGACCTGTCCCCGAGCCATACTAGGGAGGCTGGGTAAGATCCCTCTGTCAGGGCCTGGATCTCATCTTCAAGCTGCCAGCGTCAGCCCAGCTGCCACCAGGGCTGTCTCTGTCTTCCACCCTCGAGAGGGAGACTGGCTGGTTCTGAGCTCCAGGCCTACCAGTCGGCGCAACCATGGCAGTGACTGCCTCGCACACGAAGATGGCTCATGCTGCGCTCCAACTGTGGCCTCAACACCTCCCAGCGAGCACAAAGCTAAACTCCCCATTCTCCCCAGCAACTTCTTCCTTGTGAGAGATCCCACACCCACCTTAGAAGCCAGAACTGGGTCTTCTTCACTTTCCTCACCTCCCCAGTTCTAGTCTGGCTAATCCTCACATCTCACCACGGTCACCGTGGTGGCCAGACGACATGTGACCTCAGCGATGCTGCTTCATGCACACTCCAGGGCAGGCAGGTCACAGCAGGATCTGGTGTGGTGTGAACTCGATGCTGGGCTTCTTTCCTGGGATGCAGGCTAAGGGCACAGGCGCTGTGCTTGCTCTGGCTTGTAGGCCCGCAGGGGCTCTGTAGTCCCCTGGGTAAAATGCCTTGCCTGCAAGACCATATGCCATATTGGTGCAGGGAAACCTACTTCAGCACCTCCCTCAGCAAGGTATCCGGTCCCAACAAGCCGTGTACCGGGAGGACGTGGCAGCAGCATCCGGGGCATGGCTCCCTGGCCAGCTTGTGAAGTTCAAGGGGTCATTACTTCTTACAGCTCACAGGCCCTCCCGGGTCCAGCAAACATGAGGGCTGACCTCCCTCGGTTAGTGCAGGGTAAAAACACTTGGAAAAGCGGTCTCATCCCTAACTTCCACGTCCGATTCTGACCTGAAACCACATCCCAGGTCGGCACAGACACAACCCAGTCTCCTCCCACCTCACAGTGTCCTCAATGAGGACCCAGCACCCGGAAGCATCTGCTGAGGGCGAGAGGACAAGGCTGACTGGGGCTGTACCAGCAGGGACACGGCGGGCGACTCTTCCCTTCTCTGATTTCCAAGCTACTTGTAAACTTGTCATTTATAATTGAATGTGTAATTTACCTCACAGCCTAAATTCTACACATGAAGGCAAATGTCCAGTTGACAAAAATTACACTGGCCAGAATCGCCAGGCCCAACCCTGGCAGTATGAACTGAGGGTGTCCAGGTGCAGTGAACCAGTCACAGCTGACACCACGCAGACCACTCTGTCCGATGTTTAACAGGAACAAACCGCAGGTGGGGGAAAAAAAACCACACCAACGTGACGGCATTCTTTACTACTTAAAAAAATCTTTTTTTGGCTGGACGCTGTGGCTCATGCCAAAAAAATAATTTTTTATTTTTTGGGAGGCACTTTGGGAGGCTGAGGCGGGCGGATCACCTGAGGTTGAGAGTTCAAGACCAGCCTGACCAACGTGGAGAAACCCGTCTCTACTAAAGATATAAAACTGCCCAGGCATGACGGTGCACGCCTGTAATCCCAACTAACTGGAAGGCTGAGGCAGAAGAATCACGTGAACCTGGGAGGCAGAGGTTGTGGTGGGCTGAGACTGCCCACTGTACTCCAGCCTGGGCAGCAAGAGCAAAACTCCATCTCAAAAAAAAAAAAAAAAAAATTACTATTTTTTTTAAGCGACAGGGTCTTGCACTGTGGCCAAGGCTGAGGCGCAGTGGCTCCATCACGGTCACTGTGAGCTTGGACTCAGCTCGAGCAGTCCTCCTGCTTCAGCCTCCCGAGTCGCTGGGACTGACAGGTGCGTGCCACCACGCCGGGCTAATTTTAAAACTTCTTTGTAGAGATGATGTCTGTTTCCCAGACTGGTCTTGAACTCCTTGGCTGCAGCGATCCTCCTGCCCTGGCCTCCGGAGTGTGGAGACCGCAGCTGTGAAGTCACGTTCAGCATACTTCCTTGCCTAATTTATAAAACGTGATTTATTTTTTGAACTTTTTCCTCTTCAGAGCCTTCCATTCACCTTCCTGTGTAGCCAGGCTGTTAAAAAGCTGCTTGACTTTCCGCTTTCTTTCCGCATCCCTGAAAGAAACAAAAGGCAAATGCCCGCTTTTCCATCAGTTCTTAGAGGCCGTCTTGCCCTCTCTCTCGCACGTCAGAACTCGTCAGCCCACAGCGGCCACATTCAGTTCACAGAGGGGAAGCGAACGTGCCTGGCTGCAGCCCTGCCAGAGCCACGCTGTGGGATGCAGTGCCCAGTGCTCTGCCCAGGGCCACGCAGCACCAAAGCGGAGTCGCCCACGGTCGTGCCAGCACACACACGTCCCTCACCTTTCCATGATCTCGGAGAGCTGCATCCTAGCCAGGAACTGATTGTCCTTGCGGATTTCTCGAACGGCCCCTTTAAATTCACGCTTGTGTTTGTGGATCAGCCTCTTCCTCTCCTGTTCCTCCTTAGTACTGCCTTGTTTTCTTCCAAACTCCAGGCTACAATCAGAAAGCCACTGTTAAGGAAGCACGAGTCTGTCCCCACCTCTTGGCCAGAGCCTGCTCGGGAGTGTGGCTTCGCCTGAGTCATCTGCTCAACCACAGAACCGGCAGCTGCCCCCGCTCGGCTCCCAGAGCCCAGTCCCAGCCTCCCAGGGAGCCGCTGCCAGCACCCACACTTTGACCAGCCGGGGGGTGAACAGCTTCAGCGGGACGGGCCTGCTCTTCTCACAGGTCAGCGGCCGGCAGAGCTGCTTCTGGCTGTCCATTTCCATCAGTGTGCTCCGACACAGCTCCTGAAAACACACAAACCCCGATGCTGCCACGACTCGCCTGCTGCGTGCCCTGAGCGCCACACGCAGGTTCTGCGGCGTCAAGGTGGCGTGAGGACAGTACTGTAACCTCCCGCAGCAGGAGGGTGCCCTGGCTGTGCACCGCCACGGTGAAGCCAAGGCTGTGGCTGCTCAAGGCCTGGCACAGCTGGAACAAGAAAGCCAGTCTTTCTGATGAGGGACGGGCCCGTGTGCTGGCTCCCGAGCACTCTGAAAGGAGGGGTTCTCAGGACTCCGTGACAGCAGGCTTGCCTGCTCTGTGCTCCAGGGACCCGGCCGGGACTCCGTGACACCGGGCTTGCCTGCTCTGTGCTCCGGGGAACAGGCTGGAAACAGCAACAAGTTGCTGTCCTCATGGAACGCTCATCCTAGTGGAGCAGAGGCAAGGACGGCGTAACGTGCCGAGGGGTCAGCACCACGGAGAAGACACAGGGAGCACGGCGCAGTGCGGGCCAGAAGAGGCCTGGCTCTCAACAGGGTGGGCACGAGCAGCACGGCTGTGAGGAGTTCCAGGTGGAGAGAATTGCAGAGGCGGAGCAAGAGCTGAGAGGAGGCCGGAGGCGCGAGGGGAGGGCACGAGGGGAGGCGCGAGGCGAGGCTGCCAGGGCCGAGCATGCCATGCTGGCGGTGCAGAGCACCCTGTGGGGGTAGCTGCGGACAGGGCACTGATGCCTTTGTCCCCAGCAGCATCCTGGGCCAGTGTGGGCCGGCGGGGGGGCAGGATTGGCACAGGATGAAAGCCACAAGGCACAGCCGTGTCGAGCAGGAACTGGATCCTGGCCACAGCCTGTCAGGGCCAGGGTGAAAGGCAGGGAGACAGTGGCCGTCAGTGAATCTGGAGCGGCCTTCAGGCAGACCTGAGGAATCTGCAGGGTACAGGAAGTGCCCGGGATTAAAGACTCATTCTTAGCCAGGCGCGGTGGCTCACACCTGTAATCCCAGCACTTTGGGAGGCCGAGGCAGGTGGATCACAAGGTCAAGAGATCGAGACCATCCTGACCGACATGGTGAAACCCCGTCTCTATTTAAAAAAAGACTTGTTCCTAGGTCCAGCTGAGACTGTCCCTCGGGGACTCCTGTCACCTGGGCAGGACGGTGAGACCATCCTCAGAAAACCCATCGGGACTGCAGAGCGTGGCGCAGAGCCGGCTGTTGAGGCCTGGCAGGGCTGACCCCGGGTGCTGGAGCAGCCTCCGTGCAGCCTCTTGGAGGTGGCACACAAGGCGACAGTTCCCAGCCACAGCCCAGATGCAGCGTCTGTTAATCCAGCCCGGCGCTGCTCTCCGTCACTGCCTGTTCTATTGATCTGACTTCCTTCCCCATTTGTGACTTTGCAAAGATGTGTCGACGCTAGAGCTGCAGCCTCAAATGCCTAAAACTGCCCACCAGCGTGGGCCCAGCTCAGGGTCATGTCTGAGCCCAGGCAGGGCACCCTTGTGGCCAGGACGCCTTACCTGGAGCTCCCGGGGGTGGCTGCATTCCGCCAGGTGGTCTGCGAGGAGGGCACGGAGAGGTGCGGTGATGGCATGGAAGGACGGCAGGGCCCCGTACATCAGCACGCAGCGCTTCAGCAGCGCCAGGCTCACGGCCAGGCAGGACAGTCTGTGAGGGCAGAGGCGAGAAGAGGTCCAATTTGTTCTACTTGTCACTGACAAAACCAGTATCGTGGCAAAAATAAACTCCCCCATTCCCACTAGGCTGAAAAATCAGATGCGGTCACCGCAGCCAGCCAGGGTTGGGTCACATCTTGCGGTCAAGGGAGGCTCAGCGTCAGCCCTTAGCACAGGGGAAACTGGGTAACACAGTGCCAGCTGGGAAGGGGTGGCTCTATTTTTGGTTCCAAATTATGATTTGTGAAATCAAGCAAATATATTTTGAAAATGAGAAAAAAAGGGTGGACACCAAGCCAACATGCCTTAGAAAGGCTTCCGCCCTCCCTAAAACCAAACAGCCGGGGCCGCAGGTTATCTAAGAACGGCACATGTGAAAGACAGGTGGCATCTGCTGCCCCCCCGAGGTGGGGTCCCCACACATACCGGATGTGATTGGCCTCCGTCGAAGTTGGGGCCCTCAGTCCACTCGCCCAGCGGAGGGAGAGGCTGCTCTGCTGCCACGTGGCCACGTCCTCTTTGTCAGATACCACCAGCAGTTCCGAGTTCTTCCCAAGCGCTCTGAAAGGGTGCACCAGAGTGGAACCTGAATTCCAAGTGCACAGGACAGAGAGGGCCTGAACGTTACCGGGCTCCCAGCAGGCCCCGCGACACCAAGCCTGCAGAAGTTCACTCTAACCGACGCACGCTGATTTGCATGTTTCCAGGCTGTGCCAGCCACGGAGGGTTTCAGTGTGGGCAAGGACACCTCAGGAGGCGAAAGCTTTGGCAGGGGCTGCGGTCACAGCCGAGTGCCTGACCTTGCCTGGGCCTACCAGACACCACACAGGGCTGAAGAGATGCTCAGGCCACAGCCAAGAACAGACTGAAGTCCCTGCCCCTGCGAGGGAGACAGGCAGTGCACAGCAGCCCGAGAGGCGAATGAGCTAGACAACAGGAGAAGGGACGGTGGAGGGGCGGGAGGGAGACGGGAGGGTCAGCTGGGGTGAGGGCGAGGGGCAGGAGAGGCCTGACGGGGCAGACATCAGCAACGCCCTACAGGACGCCGACCCACTGAGAACAGCGTGGCTGCAGTGGGAGGGGTGGAGACCGGGCACAGGGGGGCAGAGGGGCCGGGCCGAGTGAGAGGGCAAGGCGGTGGGTCAGGCCCTGTCCACACTCCCTCAAAGCCGAGATGCCCACCCCTTCCATGACTCCACCCGTACCCAGCCTGTTCCATCGCAGCCCTTCACACACGGGATTGCAGCCATCTGCAGGTGGCTTCTCCAAGGCAGGGGGCACTCAGGGCGGCCATGCCCCTCGGTGCCCAGCACCAAGCCTGACAGACAGGAGCATCAGGGCCAGGGGATGGCAGAATGGGAGCCCTGAACCCCTCCTGGAAGGGACTCTGCTGGCCGTGGGAATGACGCCACAGCACCTGCTTCTCAGGTCAGTCCTGGACACGCAGGCACTCGGCACCACACAGCGAGCTGGAAACAGAAGGCTTAGCCTTGAGGTCCAACCTCTGGTCAGGCTGGGAGAGACGCCCACAACATGGAAGCACTCAGGACAGAGGCTGCGCGCTCCCCACCCCCGGGAGGGCACAGCAAGCGCTGAGGAAGCGCCCAGGGCTGGGCAGAGGGCCCGGTGTGGGGGGGCAGCCTGCTCGTCCCAGCACTGCCCCTGCTGCCCTCCCTGCTGAGTTCAGAGTGTTAGGGAAGCGACGCAGCAGCGCTGCCCGTGTGAGCCCCGGTGTGAGCCGCACGAGAGCTTTCGCACTGCCTTGTCATGTGGGAGAAGTAAGAAGGTCAGAGGGATTTTAATAGATCTAACCCGAAGTGCCAAACCATTACGATTTACCACATAATGCAGAAAATTAAGATATTTTATGTATTTCTGGTAACCATGCACGTGGGCACTGAGGAAGGAGAACCGTCCAGACCCCAGGCACAGTTAGTGCCTGAAGAATATCTTATAGTGTTATTACTCAGCTGTTTCCTTTATATAATCCTTCATATATAATCATGTATTAGTTTATAGAATTAGTGCCTGAAGTGTAACTTACAGCTTACATAAACCTAGCTTATATAATCATATTTAGTACTTATATCTAGTATACTTATTTCCATATAATCTCTCTATATAATCATATAGGTATTGCAGTCAGAGCTGTACCGACACATTTAGTGCTGATTTACAGAATCCTTCTATATAACCATATAGTAGCTTGTAGTAGGACGACGCCCAGAGCAGTCACAGAACAGAGGCAGCACATGGGAAAACAGCCAGACCAGGACAAGAACCAAAGACCCAGGCGGCGGCGGCCCTGCCTGACAGGGCACACGCTGCATGGCAGGCTTGGAGCAGGAGCCTCTCCTCCTCATAAAGGAGTTGTACCTTGCATCCAGTTCCTGTGGAAAGTCGGCCTCAGGCCTGAGATTCCGCAAATAACCGAGGGAGAAGAACCCCTCTGGTGTGACCAGTCACAGTGGCTGTACACCCTGTCAGCTTCTTCTCGCTTCTGTGCCAGCTCAAATCGTCCTCCCATAAATATCTTTTCTTCTTCTTTTTTTTTTTTTTGAAACGGAGTTTCGCTCATTACCCAGGCTGGAATGCAATGGTGCGATCTCGGCTCACCTCAACCTCCGCCTCCTGGGTTCAGGCAATTCTCCTGCCTCAGCCTCCTGAGTAGCTGGGATTACAGGCACACGCCACCATGCCCAGCTAATTTTTTTGTTATTTTTAGTAGAGACGGGGTTTCACCATGTTGATCAGGAGGGTCTTGATCTCTTGACCTCGTGATCCACCCGCCTCGGCCTCCCAAAGTGCTGGGATTACAGGCTTGAGCCACCGCGCCCGGCCCTCCCATAAATATCTTAAGAGCACAAGTCTGTCAGCTCTACTGCATTGGCTTACAGTACCCTTCTATTAGAAACCCTGTGAAGTCTCCAGCCCTCAGGTAAGAAGTGTTGCGCACAACACCTGCTGCACACAGCCCACCTCCTTGCCTCGGTGACCAATGGGGGTGGACCCCTTTTCTGCGCAGGGCAAGGCCCCCTACTGTGCACGGCCCACCTTTCTGCCCAGGTGACATAATGGGGTGGCCCCCTCGCCTGTTACTCGCATGATTATGTACGCCCTATCACTAAGCCTATAGACGACCTCACTCACAACCCTGCCCTGCTCTGCCTCGTACCCAGTAAGTACAGACGCTGCTGCACGTTCGGGGCCTCGCCTGTCTCCGCTCACGGGTGGCATGGCCCCAAGACCAGCTGCTTTTCTCCAGTTCTTCAGTGTCCTGTCTCTTTACTTCTCAGATCCAGCACCTCAGCACAGCATAGGGGACCCTGTGGCGCTAACAGCCCTACATCTGGCACCAAGTCTTCACCACCTCGTCATATGACACACGTGGGGCACATCTTGGTTCAGACCCTGGCCACTGGCTTCCACGCTGGACAGCACAGGTCAACGGTGGCGCTGCTTTTTCCCACGTGGGCGCAGGCACACGCTCACGCAGAGGGAAAGGGCGCTACTCAGGACGGGGGGTGGCAGCTTTGTGCGTTTCCTCTACTCTTCCACATTCTCAACTTTCTACAATGAATACAAACTACTTAAAAAAACTCTAAAGTATAAGTATTTGCAGGAAGCTCCCTCAGATCAACTCACCTTGGCTTGCTCTGTTTGGAGTTGCTATGTAAAGAATCCCGAGAAGAAAATTAATAAGCTCAGGTATAAACCTCTGGGATAAAGCCACATAGTCCAGGAACAGGCAGCACACGAACAGGCCCTTCACCGCGTCCTGGAGGGACAGGATGGGGCACTGGAAGGGAATACACGGGGGTGGGTCACGGTCCTGGGACGATGTCATGCCATGCTAGGCCGACTCCCAGGCTTCCCTGATGACCACGCACCCCACTGAGGTTTACGCGCACAGAGGGGACCCCCCACCTCACATCAGTGCTGAGAGATCAAGGGAGAGAAAACAAGATACAGATTTTACTGCGTTTTTAAAGATTTTACTGATTTCTTTTGTCCCCCTGAGACAGAGTTTCACTCTCGTTGCCCAGGCTAGAGTGCAATGGCACGATCTTGGCTCACTGCTACCTCTGCCTCTGCCTCCCAGGTCCAAGTGATTCCCTGTGCATGCCACCACGCCCAGCTAGTTTTTGTATTTTAGAAGAGACAGGGTTTCACCATGTTGGTCAAGCTGGTCTTGGAACTCTTGACCTCAGGTGATCTGCCTGCCTCAGCCTCCCAAAGTGCTGACATTACAGGCGTGAGCCACCATGCCCCACCAGAGCTTTACTGATGATGAAGTTCCTTCCACCCATACAATTAACACATGGTTACTGCAGTAAGCATGCACCAATCACATGCCTAATAAAGGAACAGCTTGAACTTTTAAAGCCAAAAACAGAACAAAAGCCCTTATCATCACACTTGGTAACTTCACCACTAACTTGAAAGGTTGTTTCTGGGGTCACACGCTCTGTAACCTTGAGGTGCCAAACCAGACCCACCCACTCCCACCCACATCTGGGGCTGCTTGAGCCGGGGCTTTTAGATGGGTGCTCTCATGCCTAACCCCGGTGCTGTCTTTGCGGCCCTCAACAGCCACGCTCAAGTGCAACAAGGCCCCGAGGAGCTGTGGCTCTGGCTGCCCGTGGTGCCGCAGGCCGGGCCCTGCCGCACATGGAGAGGACGCACCTTGGTGAGCAGCTGACTTAGGCACACGAGGGCAGGGGTCACCACCGGGTGCCAGAAGTCGGAAGTTGGAAACAGCAGGCCAGTGATTTTCAAATAAATGAGCTGGAAAGAAAGTTACCAGACAGGTTAAAGGGAAACGAAGTCCATCCAGATGCCCTTCCTGCGAACACTCCGGAGCCAAAACCAGTCTCTGGGGAAGAGAGAGTATACAGCTCTGGCCTCAATGTCACAGAACCCACGTCCAACCACCATGGGTCCAACAGCTAACCGTACAGTGAGGACACGCACTGAGGCCCACCAAGGCTTCGCCACAGCCGTCGACAATGGTGACAGGCACAGGCTCAGATCACGTTTTGGGGAGTTGATGAAAATCATTACCCTAAGTCCTACATTTTTAAGCTTCTGCTAACCATTGTGCATCCATTTCAACACAAACACTAGGCAGTGAATAAAGAGCCTTTCTGAGCAAGTTATTTCTTTAAAGTTGCTGAAGCTGAAAACACAGCATGAGGCTTTTCTAAAATTGTTAAAAATCCCAGTTTTCAAATGTCTCTTGACCTTTGAATAAACAGAGGAACCGCGGCCAGTTAAAACCAGCCCACAGGCTTGGGCCCTTAAGAAAACACCGTGGTTCTCTTTGGCTTCCGACATTTTTGTGCCGGACCAAAAACCGCACCACTCACGTGGAATCAAACGAATCTCCTTGTACGGCCCCCACGTCAGTGACGGCCAGTGCAGGAGCCGCCCTCCCTCCCGGGCTCGCGGCACTGCGGTTCTCCCTCCAATCACCCTGGAAGCACAGGGCACAGCCGAGAGCACCATGCCCATCGCCAGCCTTCTGTGACGCCAGGCAGAGCTCCTGTGGCTGTGGCAGTGCCGAAACCATGCTTACCACGTCCAGCCCTGGCAATGGCGTCCGGCCTTTGGCCTCAATCATTTCTTCCATCTCATGCATGGCATCTCGGAGAACGAATTTCACAGCCTCACTTGCAGATGCAGGAAACATCTGGCAAAGATGATATAACTGCCTGTTAAGCAGAAATGTCAGTCAGCGGAGAGCGACTTCAGACAACAAAAACACAGAAAAACCCTGAAGGCCCTTTTCCTACGAAGTCACCTGTTGACTGAGCACGTTAGAACTGGATGAACCCGCTTTTTCTAAGAGCATTCTTAACAGTCTACACTCATTTTTGCCATTTCCTGAAAACCTGGCCACTGCACGATGGACTGGAGGTGGAGGGAGAAACGGCTCAGTCTGTGGTGACAACACTACTGAGGGCACTGTCCCGTGTGGCAGCGGCAGCTGGCAGCTCCAGGGCACTCTCCACGTGAACTCATTTGTTCCTCACGGCAGCTACTTCCTGGACAGCGTCTCCACGTACGCAGATGACGTGGAGCGCTGCAGCGTGGCAGAGGGCAGGAAGCTGGCGCGCGCTCTCACGGACCCAACGCCAACATGCCTCTTGACTGAGAACTCTGCCCCTCTGCCACCCCTCTGTCACCAAGTGGGTCACAGGCTTACAGTGCAGCGAGGGCGGGAGCTCGCCCTGGTGGTCCCCAGGCAGGCGAGAGGGACACACTCCATAGCACACAGAGCCAGTCCCACGGGGATCCACTGAGGGGTGAAGGGCGGGGTGTCTGCCACACTTTCCAAATCCCTCTCCACCACCCCGGGCTCAAAACTTACAATGAGCCACCCCATCCCAGCCACAAACCTGAAGGGGTTCACTTGTTTCAAAGTCAGCTTGTTTGGGGTTAAGCGTCAGTCCCAGCTCTACAGCGGCCAGAGCAGCACGTGAGAAGCGGGCTTGCGCCGTGAGGCTCACGAGCCCCGGTGACCACCCGCCCACCTGGCGTGCTGACGCCACCATTCCACCCTCCTTGGTAACCCTGGAACGTATTTTCATGACTCTGAACGGGAGGAAAATTGTTCTGCTCAGCCCCACATCCCAGGTAATACACCATTTTTACTTACACAACCAACTTATCAATTACTCTGAGGTCTGGTGGGTCGTTTGCAGCCAAATCACCAACGTATTCCAAAAGAAAGCCAAACAGTTTCTGCAGGAACATGAATTGGGAGAGAAAGCTCAGTGCTCAGTGCTGAGAACAAAGCCACAGGCACATAGCTTCCAGTGTAGGTTGTCACCTACACTCTGGTGACAACCAGGTGGCGCAGGGAGCCCAGGGCTACAGATGCGAGCAGCCTTCTAACATCCAAGCCAAGACACTGCTAGAACCTGCTGAGCTCTAGGCATAGCGAGGGGGAAAAGGCTAAGGGCCAGGTGCATGCTTCCACACAACAGCAGACAACACATCACTAGGAAGAGAAAATCAGGAGCGCCCTCTTCACAGGGAAGAGAAAAAGGCACACGGCTGGGTGCGGTGGCTCATGCCTGTGATCCCAGTACTTTGGGAGGCCGAGGTGGGTGGATCACTTGAGGTCAGGAGTTCATGACCAGCTTGGCCAACATGGCAAAACCCCATCTCTACTAAAAACACAAAAAATTCGCCAGGCGTTGCGGTGGGCGCCTGTAATCCCAGCTACTCACGAGGCTGAGGCAGGAGAATTGCTTGAACCCAGGAGGTGGAGGTTGCAGTGAGCCGAGATCATGCTACTGTGCTCCAGCCTGGGTAACAAGAGCGAAACTCCATCTCAAAAAAAAAAAAAAAAAAAAAAGAAAAAGAAACAGGCACAATGACAGCCACCTATTAATCGACACACGAAGTCCGGCTCTGCCACTTGCCGGCTGTGTGAATCTAGTTTCCTCCCCTGCGAGAGGAAGGTGAAGGTCCCTCCCTGTGCCCACCTCTGGCAGCGCCTGGCACGAGGCCTAGAGAGGGGCCAAAGCCAAGGGAGGCCTCTGCCCAGGCCATACCAAGTGCTCCCGGCCATCATCACAGGTGACGGGCCGGCCCCACGAAGCTGAGGCGCACCGGCCGCTGCACACCTCACGCAGTCTCTCAGTTACAGATGGGGCTATGCGGACACGCTCAGCGCCCCACACACACAGTCCACATACTTCCAGTTTTGCTTTGTTTCCTTCTGCGAGACTTGGGTGGGTGCACTTCTGAATTCTCTCCACCACCAAAAGCTGCTCTTCCAAAGATCTTCCTAATAATAAAGCTCTCAGTTCCTCATAGGATTCAGGAGCTATTAAATACACAAAACATACTGCATAGTTAACATTCATTTATTTATATATATTGTTTGAGATGGAGTCTTGCTCTCTTGACCAGGCTAGAGTGCAGTGGTGCAATCTCAGCCCACTGAAACTTCCATCTCTCAGGTTCAAGCAATTCTCCTGCCCCAGCCTCCCGAGTAGCTGGGATTACAGGCCCCCACCAGCACACCCAGATAATTTTTGTATTTTTAGTAGAGACAGGGCTGCATCATATTGGCCAGGCTGGTCTTGAGCCCCTAACGTCAATCTGCCTGCCTTGGCCTCCCAAAGTGCTGGGATTACAGGCATGAGCCACCATGCCCGGCCCACATTTAACATTTAAAATGAAAATGACTTCACGTCTGCTAACACAGAGGTAATTTTATGTTAACTGTTCTACTTCACAATCACCACAAACCCACCAGCTTTTGCCCTGGTACGTCTGGAGGGGTCTCAGACATTTCTGCCCTGGGCTGTCAGGAGTGGTCATGCACCTGGGAACAGGCTAAGAAGGAAATGACCTCCCCCCATTCCTTGACAGGAATTTACTGAAACACACAGTTCCAGAGCATCTCGGGGCAGGGTTCTGGATTTAGTGCCCAGACCACTTCAGAATGACCTGGAAGGAGCCACTGTGAGCCCAGCAGGGTCAGCTCCTGAGACTCCTGCCACCAGAGGGTACATCAGGGAGGCCAGCCTCACCACTAGCTTCTCCTCTGCAAGCGTCCTGCAGGCACAGGACAATTAAGCACTGCTTACTAGAACCCAACAATTTTTCTTTATTTTGAGACAGGGCCTTGCCCTGTCACCCAGGCTGGAGTGCAGTGGTGTAATCTCGGCTCCCTGCAACCTCTGCCTCCCAAGTTGAAGTGATCCTCCCACCTCAGCCCCCTGAGTAGCTAGGAACACAGGCACAAGCCACCGCACCGGGCCTATTTTTTATATTTTTGGTAGACATGAGATTTCATCATGTTGCCCAGGCAGGTCTCAAACTCCAGGGCTCAAGTGATCGGCCCACCTTGGCCTCCCAAAGTGTTGGGATTACAGGCATGAGCCATGCACCTGGCCTGGACAATCTTTCTCCACATACCAGACAAATCAACACTGTATATTCCACCCAAAATGTTACGTGGCCAAACAGGAGGCCCAGTCGGAGCACGGAGGCCTTCTCACATGCTCGCCCACATCACAGGCCCGCCCTCCAGTCCCCACGAAACGCTGGCCCTACACTAAGAGAGAGGGAAGGTACCACTACAGAGAGGTGCGTCTCGCTCACCTGGAGCCAGCCCAGAGAGCCACGGCCACAAACCAAGACGACCCCTCACTCCAAGACCTGGATTGGCAGACACGGGGTGGGGCCACACACTCCCACGTGCACATTTTTCCTTGGTCCCCACCCCACAAATGCAACCCCTGGGAGGGAGACACACACACACAGCTACGGCCACGTGGTGAGTTATCCCAGAACCGAGGAAACCGTGCTCGCCCACCTGCAAACGTGTAGGGCAGCTCGTCTCTGGCAGCTTCTCCAGCTCTTTCCTGGCGGCCCAGCAACCCTTTCCCAGGAGTCTGCCGCTGCCCTTGTGCTGGCTCCTGGTCTTCCTCCTCGCTCTCTGCGTCGGACTCCAGGTCCGAGTGGCTGTCTGGGCTGTCACTCTCCTCGGTGTCCTCCCTGCCTGAACCGTCACCTTCTTCCTCGTTGCTCTCAGTGTCACCGGCTTCCTTGCTTTGCTCTTCCTCTTCTTCGAGGACATTTTCCTCGACGTTCATTTTTCCATCCTAGAAAGCATGGAAACCACAGGGCATCAGGAGAGGCAGGGGCAACTGCTGAACCATCTCAGCCACATGGAGACGACGCACACATCACTGCTTGCTCCGTGCTTACACACAAAGCTCTGTGCTCTGTTTGCCCCCTGGCACCAGGCCTCCTGCCCACTACTCCCCTTCTAGGCTCTCTGAGCCATGGAAGCTCCCAGAGAACCCGGCTGCAGAATGCTGGGCCAGGTTCAGGTCTTGCCAGGGTGCAGCACGGGGTCAGAAGGTGGACACTGTACAGTGGCCGTGGCTTCAGCACTGGGAGTGCCTCCAGCACCCACCACTGGTTTGGGGAGGCTGCCCTTCTGCTCCTCCAGGTAACCTAGTGGTTTTATCAGCATCCACTGTCCTCTGTGGATCTCTTCTGCTTGAAACCCGTCCTGCCTACTGTTCTTCCCTGGACCCTGACTGAGACACTCTTACGAGAAAAGGGTATCGATTTATAAAGTTCGTGAATTAAAAACACCAGTGACAGAAACTCAATTACGCCACTCAAAGAATATTTACAGCTCTAGCCTTGAGTTAGCTTCCTCGATAGTATGCTGAGGCCATGCAGACAGAATCACACAGTTATAAACAAAACTAGTTGATGTTAACAACCGAGTAATCGGTTTTATCTGTTTTCCTTTGAAAGACAGTGAAAGACAGAGAGCGGGAGCCAGCGAGTGCACACACTACCACGAAAGTCTTCTCTCTAAAGTTCTGGTATCTGATATGCCATCAACACCCAGAGAACTTTAGAGAAACTGGTTGCAAAGATTTAACATTCCCAACTGTAATAAATCCCTAAAATGAATACCAAAAAATGTTTATACATTAAAAAACAAAAGCGAAAGGAAATGAGGCTAAACATCTTACTTTGTAAGAAAGCAAACGTCTGTCATCTTTGTCCAGTACGAAGCCATCGCTGAGATCATCCGCTGACGTATGTTTTGCTTTCTTAGTATCTTCATCCTCGCCCTTTCCAAGCATTCTTCGGAGTCTTTCAGCCTGATCAGGAAGGAATGACAAGTCTTACAGAGCCCTCCTCCCAACACTGAGTGAGGAGGCGTGTGGTCTGCCCTGGGCGGCGAGCAGGGCCTGCAGCCCTCCCAGCTCTGCGGCTGGTGCCTCCCGCCTGCTTTCGGCCCGCAGTCTTCAATCGGCATGCAAACGCTCGCTAAGCAGTACATTCCTCATTTCACAAATCAGCTGTGCAAACTTTGTGGCCCGGGCTCTGCAGTCACAAGGCAAGCCTCTTACTCTGAGGTCTTCACGGCCCAATTCTGCCGGCCAGCCCCAGCTAGGAGTCATCACCCCCTGCACCAAGAGAAGCGAAGCCAGGACACCAAGAGCGAGCGGCTCCAGGGCCTCTGCTATTTGACGACACACAGGACACGGGAGAGGCTGTGGTGGGAGCATCAGCCGAGCTCAGGAGTTTGAGAACAGCCTAGGCAACATAGGGAGATGCTCATCTATACCAATAATTTTTTTAAATTAGCTCAGGCTGGACGCAGTCATCGCAGCACTTTGGGAGGCTGAGGTAGGTGGATCACCTGAGACCAGGAGTTCAAGACCAGCCTGGCCTACAGGGCAGAACCCTGTCTCTACTAAAAGTAAAAAATTATCTGGGCATGATGGCAGAAAAAAAAAAAAAAAAAAAAAAAAAGCAAATAAAAAAACTCAGTCAGCTGTGGAAGAATGTGTCTTTGTTTTTGTTTTAATGTAATGACTTTTTAAAAACTGCATTAAGGCCGGGCGCGGTGGCTCAAGCCTGTAATCCCAGCACTTTGGGAGGCTGAGGCGGGTGGATCACGAGGTTGAGAGATCGAGACCATCCTGGTCAACATGGTGAAACCCTGTCTCTACTAAAAATACCAAAAATTAGCTGGGCATGGTGGCACATGCCTGTAATCCCAGCTACTCAGGAGGCTGAGGCAGGAGAATTGCCTGAACCCAGGAGGCGGAGGTTGCGGTGAGCCGAGATCGCGCCATTGCACTCCAGCCTGGGTAACAAGAGCGAAACTCCGTCTCAAAAAAAACAAACAAACAAAAAAAAAACTGCATTTTAAAAAAACCTCACAAGATAATATATTCATTTCATTGTTAGTAGATATTTTGGGATAGAATGATTATTAAGGAATGTCCATTTTTAGCTGGGCACAGTGGTTCATGCCTGTAATCTCAGCACTTTGGGAGGCCAAGGTAGGCAGATCATTTGAGGTCAGGAGTTCAAGATCAGCCTAGCCAACACAGCCAAACCTCATCACTACTAAAAATACAAAAAAATTAGTTGGGCGTGGCAGGGGGGGCTATAATCCCCGGTACTCGGGAGGCTGAGGCAGGAGACTGGCTTGAACCCAGGAGGCAGAGGTTGCAGTGAGCCAGGATCACGCCACTGCACTCCAGCCCGGACGACAGAATAAAACTCCATTTCAAAAAAAATAAAAGAAATGTCAATTTTTAATTTGGTATACTTGGGAATTATTTGCATTTTATTTGATGTTTCTGCTTTTATAATCAGAAAAAAAGGTATTTATGAATAAATATAAACTTTAAATAGACGAAAAGAGTCCACTGATCAGACTATTCTCATCCCACCCTGCAGTGGAGCCGAGGGGCCGTGGATGGCCAGCAGCACGGCCCACCCACCTCCAGCTTCCGGAGACGCTCCTGCTCTTCCTTCGCCAGTTCTGCCTCCGTCTTCATCCTGCTGGAGGGCTGCGCCTTCATTTCAAAGCCAAGCTCGCGAACCATCATGTCATACGCGTCGGGCTAAAGCAGAAAGAAGAAATTTTTCATTTTCAAAAGATATGTATTTCTTATTTTACAGAAAGAAAAGAGCTAGCTTCCTGGCACATCCTAGTAATGGCTGGACAATGTGCCTGGAGCGGCTACGGCACCCCTACCTCTCTTCTAGAGAGAAAACTCTTCTACTCAGCCTTGAGGATTGAGCAATCAGTGGATACTTTGGTCACAAATAACTTTACTCCTAGAAGAATTCTTCTCAGAATACATCTGCTTTAACAAAAACAGGCCAGGCAGTGGCTGTAATCCCAGCACTTCGGCAGGCTGAGGTGGGCGGATCACCTGAGGTCCGGAGTTTGAGACCAGCCTTGCCAACATGGTGAAGCCCTAACTTTACTAAAATTACAAAAATGAGCCAAGCGTGGTGGTGCGTCCCTGTAAGCCCAACTACTCGGGAGGCTGAGGCAGCAGAATCACTTGAAAACAGGAGGCGGAGGTTGTGATGAGCTGAGATGGCGCCACCGCACTCCAGCCTGGGTGACAGAGTCAGACCCGGTCTCAAACAGCAACAGCAAAAACACACTACTTACGTAGGCATTACGCCCTAAACATGGGAAATTAAGTAAATTAACAGTAATAGCAAGGGTGGCTCGCAACGATGTCCACATGCCACTAAGCTGGTGAAATCTAGATTTCTCTGAGCACCCACTTACTTACACAAATGCAGCATTTTGCAACAGTTTAGACTACAAAGAATGCAGTAGGGAACAAAAGCGGTTTAGAGGGGAAACGTCAGTGTATATTAAATGTACATGTCACAGGGCCGCTCAGACTGACATGTTCACCCTAAGGTACTTCTTCCATCCAGAAACACCACTTTCTTGAGTTTAACGCATCCGCAATAGACACTGAAATAACTGAGTCTACTTCCACCCCAAGATTCCATGTATCAGTCACTCAGTTTCAATGTCCACAGAAACCTGTCCTACAGGCAACAGCTGGAAGCAGCTCCCGCCCCGGCCCTTCCCTGCAGAGAGTCGGCTCAACACGGCTGTGGACGTTCACCGTGTTTCCGTCGCTCAGCTCCCACCTTGGGCTTCTCCTTTTTCTCTCTGTTCTCTGACTTCGGAGTTTTATGAGACAGGAGAGTCTGAATTTCTTTCCAGTCTCGGTCCAGCTTCTCTGTGAGCTCGAGGGCATCTTCCCGTTGCGCTTGCCTCTCCCTCTGGGGAAAAAGTAACAGACACACAGCACGCAGCGTTACTACTGGACTTCAACCCAGAGGCCCAATGTCAATGCTGAGGACACACACAATGACCACTCCATCAGCACCAAATGTTTCCACGGAAAAACGCGGCCTGGAGAGATTCGTATTTTAAATGCAAAGCTACAAAATCTCATCTGACGGCTTCTGGCCATGAACCGTTAATGTAGATGCTCTGAGCGGTTCACTGCAAACGAACAAAAAAGTGAGTTTTGGGGAACATGTCAGATACTAAAACCAGCAGCAACAACAAACCCATCTGTGCCAGGAGCGGTGGCTCACCCTGCACTTTAGAAGGCCCAGGTGGGAGAACTGCTGAGGGCCAGGTGTCTGAGACCAGCCTGGGGGACACAGCAAGACCCCATCTCCACAGAAACTAAAAACATACTTCGCTGGGCATGGTGGTGCACACTACTGCTTGGCGAGCTGAGGAGGGAGGATCACTTGATCCTTGAGCCCGGGAGTTTGAGGCCACAGTGAGCTTTGATCATGCCACCGCACTCCAGCCTGGGCAACACAGACCGCGCCTCAAAATAAAACAAAACACGCACCACAAAAAGGCAAAAGAACCAAAACTTGTCAGAGGTATATGCCTGATGGGATTTTTAAAATTTCTATTCACAGCCGGGCGCGGTGGCTCACGCCTGTACTCCCAGCACTTTGGGAGGCGGAGGTGGGTGGATCACAAGGTCAAGAGATTGAGACCATCCTGGCCAACATGGTGAAACCCCGTCTCTACGAAAAATACAAAGCTTAGCTGGGTGTGGTGATGCGCACCTATAGTCCCAGCTACTCAGGAGGCTGAGGCAGGAGAATCGCTGGAACCTGGGAGCCGGAGGTGGCAGTGAGCCGAGATTTTGCCACTGCACTCCAGCCTGGTGACAGGGCAAGACTCGGTCTCAAAAAAAAGAAAAAAATCTATTCACAATAAATGCTGTTATTAAACTCGTATAAAATATTAAACACAGCCTAAAAATGTACAGGGAAAAAAAGTTCACACACATTTTGGTGAGCCTGTCTTTCCACGGAGAAGATGATCAAGGACATTCACTAACCCACCTTCTCTTGTTTTGACTTGGCAATGAGCTCTTCAATCAGCTCTTTCCGGGACTTTGGTTTCTCCTGCTCCTCGCCTTCCTGTGGAGTCTTCTTGTGAAGGAGCTCACTGCCTCCTCCAAAGTGAGCAGCAGTCAGCTCCGCTGGGGGCAAAAGACAGAAACCCCACAGTGAAGCCCAGCCCCGGCGTGCGAAGCGTTTCCTGTAGCACTCTGCCGGCGCTTCCCCCAGAGCAGTCTGGAGATTTCCACATTTGAGAAAAAAATGCTCACACTACTGCTGGCCTGAGACCACAGGCACAATGGCACTTGGGAAATACCCAAGGTGAGCCACTCTGAGAAAACCCAGACCCATTAACTTCCCAATTGGCTATAACCCAAGTGGCAGAAAACACCAAGCACCTATTTTTGGTTGTGCTGGTTCTAGTGAAGACTGGCAAGCCCAGAACAAGCTGGACTGAGTCTTGGTAGCGAGTGTCGCCCAGGCTCAGCGGCACGACCCGTGCCCCTCCCACCTCCTCGGGCAGGGCCGGAGACTCTAGAGCCCTGAGCTAAGGGCAGGAGCAGGAACTGTCCAGCAGGCCACCCATCTTCAACCTGCTCTACTCACTAGGGCAGAAGAGAAATTCCACATAGTAGGAAACATCAAATGTGGAGAAAAGAAACCTTTAAAAACCCAGCTTCTCAAATGAAAACAGGCTCAGATGGGAAATGATTTACCCAAAGGCCCACGTCCTAACAGAAACCAAGGTTGACATAGCTTCTCCAGCCTGGGGCTCCAGCATGCCAGCAGCTCTCTGGCCAGCAGGGCGGGTTCCCAACCTCCACTCCCTTCTCTTCACCCTCTGTGGCTCTCCCCGGCCTCTCCTCTGAAGTGCAGTCCTCCTGACTGATGGGGGAGTCTGCGGCCTTCCTCTCACGACCAGCAGTGCTCGACACATTCGCCACTCACTCACCTAGAAAGGCTTCCTCTCGGCCTCTAGCCCAGCCCCGCCAGGCCTCGCTGTCCCCTCTTCTCCAACGCCTAAGGCCAGTTCCTGCTGTCTCTCTTCTAACTACTCCTATCCTCTTGGCGGCCCGTTCAGCAGTCTCTCTGCTGACCGCATCCATCCCGTCTCCGGCCTGCATGCTCCCTGAACTCCAGACTGCACCTCCAGCACTGCCCCGTGGATGCCTAGCAAGCGTTTCAAACTCGCCCCAAACCCATCTGTCCCGCAGTCTTCTCATGTCAGGGAACGGTGGTTCCATCTTCCTGGATGCCCAGGCCACACCCCCGTGGAGTAACCCTTGATGGTGCCTCCCACATCTGTATCCGATCCGTTGGGAAATCCCGTCGTCCCTGTCCTATCACAACACTATGTAATTCCTTGGCTCCAACACCTCGACTCCTTTTCTCAAGTAAAAGCAAAGTCTCGGCCAGGCATGGCAGTGCACACCTGTAGTCCCAGCTACTCCGGAGGCTGAGATGGGAGGACTGCTTGAGCCCAGGAATCCAAGGCCGCAGTGAGCCGTGGTCACGCTCCCGCACTCCGGCGAGGCTGAATGAGACTCCACAGTGTCACGTGCCACCCTCTCCTGGTTCTTCCTCCACAGCAGCTCCAGCTTTGATCAGACAGCATAATCTGGTGACATATTTGTTTCATGTTTGGGTCTCCCCATAAAATGTGAGCTGAAAGAGGGCACAGTTCTTTGTTCTGACACTGCCATTTCTCTGGAATTGAGAACGGTGCCTGGCACACAAACCAGTATTGGTAAGTGAATGAATGAATGATTGATTCCTGATTTGCAGAAGTGAATGACTTCCTTCCTGGTAAACTCAGCATATCAGAAAACACTACTTTCAGTATTCTAGTAATCCAAGGTTGATCATAATATTTTCCTTTTGTTTTTTAAAAAATCTTTTATTTTAGGTTTGGGGGAACATGTGAAGGTTTGTTACACAGGTAAATTTGTGTCCAGGTTTGTTGGACAGATTATTTCATCACCCAGGTACTAAGTCCGGTACCCAACAGTGACCATTTCTGCTCCTCTCCCTTCCTCTCAAGCAGATCCCCATGTCTGCTGTTTACGTCTTTGTACTCAAGAGTCCTCATCATTTAGCTCCCACTTATAAGTGAGAAAATACAGCATGTGGTTTTCTGTTCCCGCATTAGTTTGCTAAGGATGAGGGATGCCCTCCGGTTCCATCCACATTTCCACAAAAGACATGATCTCATTCTTTTTTATGGCTGCACAGTATTCCATGGTGTGTATGTACCATTACAGTATTTTCCGAAAAGAAAGATTTGTAAAATACCAACTAATAAGCTTGTATCAATTATATAAAAGATTCAGAAAAGGATTTGGTTAGAAAGCCTTTTTTATGTATCTAGTTATTTTGAAGTGTAAACACAGTGTATTTTACAGTAGGTGAAACAGCACACAGCGGCTACAATTTAGGAGTCAGGCCACCTGGCATTTGAAACCCAGCTCCCCCCGGCTACGAGGCATGAGCAAGTACCACCACCTTCTGTCCTCAGTCTCAGCTTCCACAGCTGTAAAGTGGGTCACACCTAGCTCACGGGGTGGTTTTTAAGATGAAATTCTCCTAATCTAAGCGAACATACTATGTGACAGCTGAACAAAGAAGAATGTTTCCCCATGACTCATTTAAAAATTGCAGTCAGTATATTTATTTTCACATGTAAGAGGCTTTTCTTTTATAAAAATCACGCGGGTTTTGGTAAACTCATAATCAAAATCAAAGGCTAGGAAGTCAGGAATGAACAGCTGAATTCCCAGGACTGAGCCCTACTTCTGCTCTAGTAACCTGGGAATGTAACTTCAACACTTCCTGGCCATGAGGGGAATGCACTGGCCAAGCTCACACCAAGGCAGCTGCCTTCAGTCTTGGGGAGCTGGGATCTCCCAGGGAATGCGTTTTACAGCTAAGAACACACGAGAAGTCTTGAACAATGAAAAAAGCAAAGAGATCACACAGAGGCTGAAATAACCGGCCATTCTCTTCACACCTGTGAAGCCCGCGGCCTCCTCCTGGTGTGTGACAGACGGCAGGCTCTGCACCACAGGCTTGCTGCCTTAACTCCTAAGCCTTTTACCCCTTGGATTAGCCAGGTATCGAAAGGCAGCCCAAGGTTTTAACGCCTTAACTTTCACACACGAAGACAAAGCTTTGAGTCCGTTTAGGTTGGTGCAGCTTTGTTCTGAAGATGCTGGAAATGGGACCTACTTAACTTAGAAGAAATGCCAAGTAATTGATGTCAGGACAGAAGCCTTATAAAGAGGGTTCAAGACAGTCAGCCCGAACTGAACCTTAAACTCCGTTAATGTTATTTAAGGCCAACATTCACCTGTTTCATGTTGTTATCTACAGATATGAGGCTCAATATTGTTTTCTTCAAACTGCCATAATTCCATAGTAAGTAAAGGCTGAAAGAACCACATAAACACCACTGGTACAAACATTAGGCTGGAATTCATAAAATTGGGGGAGCAGGGTAGTGCAGTTCGGTGAGCCGCCTGGAGTCGGTGAGGTGGGTTCTACCCACGGCTCTGACTCTGGCATCAGGCAAAACACCTTATTTCTCTGAGCTCATGGGTGGAACCAGCCACTGTGAGGTTTAAATGAAATAATGGATATCAACATGCTTTCTTGGCCCATAAAAGCATCTATCTATACACCACCTTAAAGTTCTGAAAACTTAAAAAAGAAAACTTTCATGTGATAACTTTCTCTAGTCTCCAAGAAGCGCAGGAGGAAGTCTAACAAAGAACAGACCCTCCCTGGCTCCACGCCCACAGGCCCGTGCAGGGCACCCCAGCCTCACCGGACAGCGCCCCTCGATCCTCAGTGTCGCTGTCACTGTCCACAATGTCATTGTGCTTCTCAATGTCTGCCAATGATTGGCCATAATGAGTCAATTCTTCATCTTCGTTTAGATTGTAGATGCTTTTTTTCTCATGATGGCGCTGACAGAAGAGAAAAAAAGTTTCCCAAAATTACCACTTTCATTTCACAGCAAAAAAATGTGTATGTATGTGTTTCCATTACATCTGAAATATGACAGTGCAGCCGAGTATTCTAGGTCAACTAAGCAATGACTCAGACATAAACGGAACTCAGGGCGGGGAGGGGGGGATTCTTCAATAAACGCAGGGGCCGCTATCCGCCCCAGCAGTGCTGCTCAGGCCCCTGGCTCTCCACCCAACAGAGCTGAAGGCAGCAGCTCGGCTGAGAACTCTTGGACACACTGCTGCTGCGCAGTAAAGACACGTATCTGTTTAGCTAACATCTGCAGAAGCAGCAGCTTCACCTTTGGCCTAGCCAGGTAAGCACAGGGTTCAAGGGCTATGCCCCGGACCTTACGAGTGCCCAGGCACATGCGGAACGTGCAGAATTGACTTCCCCCTGAGCTTGGCTTCTCTGTGACTGTACAGCAAAAGCCCTCCTCCAGTTTCTATCCATACCTGCTGTTCCAGAGCAAACCGCTTCATCATCTTCTCCTCGGGGGTCATGCTGCTGTTGTACTCTCCAAAGCGTTTATCTCTGAACACATTGGACTTATCCCTTTCTTTGTACTCCTTCAGTAAAGTCTGTGTACGCTGGAAAACAGGTCATAACACAATCTCACAAAAAAACTCATGATTTCCACTAAAGGGCACATGAGAAGAGTGCACACTCTGAAGTTCAGGGCGAAGCTCGGTGACATCGGAGCTCACACACAATCCGCTTTCCTCCATGACAGGCTTGCTCTACTGGCGACAGAATTTTGAGAGGACCAAAACAACACTCTCGATGGTAACGGACCAATCACTTTCTTTACCTCTTTAGAGTCTGTTGGTGCCAAAAGGAAGCATAAAAAGCACACTGGTCCAGCTCAAGGTCTGAACGGCTCCCTCGGACATAACAGCTGCCTTATGGTTTAAGGAAGTGTGCACCAGAATCATTTGGAAAAGTGGAAACGGGGTTAGACCCCTTCCAACATGGAGAAGGGTACCCTTTCCCATCAAAGGCACTCCTAAGGAATGTACAGTTGTGGGTTCATATTAGACCAAAGCCATAAACGAGTGAGTGAGGCCACAGTCTAGGCTTTACCCTTTACAACACCAAGAGGAACAGCATTTTAAACACAGAGAGCGAGTATCAAATCATTTGCTATTTTCCCAGCAGCAACAAAAAGAACAAGTTTAATATCATTCAAAGTTGGCTGTCCTGGAGGTTGAATTCTCTAAAGCTGGGAGAGGACAGAGGTGGGTGAGGAACGTGTGGCCTCTGCAACCCGAGACAGCCACATTGCAAACTCTTCCCCGCTGCAAAAATTCTTCTATTCGCTAAGGAACTGCCATTACACTGGTGTTGACACAGCGATTCCAAAAGGAACTGGCACCAAGGCACAATCTAGATGCAATGGAAGGCCCTGGAATGATCCAATTCAGCGCTTTACAAACCCATCACAAACTGGTGCCTTGGCAGACACTGGAAACTGCTGATCTAACCACAGACGTAAGTGTTCTTGCTTTCTTCAGGGATTCCTCTGATTTGTGAAGTCACTTTGAAGGAATGTGTGTGTGTGGCAGGAGGGACTATGTGGTGACCTGGTCATTGCCACTCTGGTCATTGCCACTTCTGTTTCAGAAGGGGACAGGCCAGATTTTGCTCCAGACATAGGTCACTTCCCCAGGGTTGGAGATGAACTTAAAGGCTAAGAAACCCATACTTAAGGTCAAAACCAGGAGCTGGAAGAAGAGGAAAGGAGGCTGGGAGAGGTGGCTCACACCTGTCATCCCAGCACTTTGGGATGCCGAGGCAGGCAAATCACGAGGTCAGGAGATTGAGACCATCTTGGCGAAAACGGTGAAACAGTCTCTACCGAAAACACAAACAGTAGCTGGGTGCGGTGGCACGTGCTTGTAGTCCCGGCTGCTGGCGAGGCTGAAGCAGAATTGCTCGAACTCAGGAGGCGAAGGTTGCAGTGAGCCAAGAGTGCGCCACTGCACTCCAACCTGGGTGACAGAGCGAGACTGTCTCAAAAGAAAAACAGAAGAGGAGGAAAGGAGAGTGTAGGGAGTTAAGCAGCAGCTGGGCAAGAGCAGAAGATGCCACGGCAGGGACGGAAGCACGCCTGGCCCTCCTTTCCATTTACAGCACATTCCATCTGAAGAGGTCAACCGAAACATTAATCGTGGACAGGAGAAAAGGAGGTGAAAAAACCATTTCTCTGATCTCACTTTGGAATGCGAAAGTTCTAGCGGACTTAAAATGCATCCAAAAGCCCCTCTGCTGCCTAAAGAGTCGGAAGCCATCCATTAGTTCCATAAATCCTTCCAAGGCAATTTTTGTCATTTTCTTCAAGAATGCTTCAAGAACCAAGTTCTTTGCAAACAACCTGAATTCTTAATCCCTAGTAACTTCCTACTGTGTCAGTGTTAAACCATGTTTGTTAAAAACACGTGGGTACAATTTCCTGAACTGGAGTCTAAAGACAGCAAGTGTCCCCAGATAGACCAGAGGGCTCCGTCGTCGTCACTTGAATTTAGGAGCCATCGGTTGAATGTTATGAGACGGAGAAGGAACGAGCCAGAATGAGACTCTGCTGGGTGCTGGTAGTGAACCATACACAGCACTGAATGAGGTTAAGCTCTCTGGACCTTCAGCACTCTTTATCTGCAGAGTAAACATTTAAAACAACATCCCACCATTTAAATCACAAGGTCTAGCCGGCAGTCAGATGGGAGCACATTACATGTGTTAGCCTGTACTGCTCAATGAATTCGGTACAGACAGAAGCTGCTTACAGGCTACACTGAGAAGACTTTTGAGGCCTGTCTCTGCAGAGGGAGGGAGAATTACTTGCTTCTAGCAGGAAGGAGGTAGATGGGGCAGGCATCAGCCATCTCTGCCTCTAAAAACATGAGTTCTTATTATCTGGAATACGATTCTATGGATAAATCTTAGTGAAGAACAACCCTTAGGCTATAAATACATAATACTAGTTATTCTACATTATTCTGATTCTCTCTTTCTTAAACTATAATAAATGTTGTGACATTATACTGAATTTATGGCATAAAATGGGGATGACAGTACTTCCCCCTCGTAAGGATGAGGATAAAATGTAAACCGCTTGGCACAATGCCTGACCAACTGTAAGGGATCAGCAATCATATTAATAATATAGTTACTGATCAACAACTATATTAATATAACTTATTTCATAAATTATTTCAGAAATAAGGAAACTGAGGCACAGCTCTAAGGTGATATCCTGAAACTGGAGCCCGGCAGTCTAAACAAAGAGCCTGCCCTCTTCCTGCCAGACTGCGTCCCTCCGAGTGCTACGACCGACCAGTAGAGAAAAGCCAACCCAGACGGCCCATTTATTTCTTTTTTTTTTTTGAGACAGAGTCTTGCTCTGTCACCAGGCTGGAGTGCAGTGGCGCAATCTCGGCTCACTGCAACCTCTGCCTCCCGAGTTCAAGCACTATCTCCTGCCTCAGCCTCCCGAGTAGCTGGGATTACAGGCACATGTCACCACGCCCAGCTAATTTTTGTATTTTTAGTAGAGACGGGGTTTCACCATGTTGGCCAGGATGGTCTCAATCTCTTGACCTCGTGATCCACCCGTCTCAGCCTCCCAAAGTGCTGGGATTACAGGTGTGAGCCACCGCGCCCGGCCCAGCCCGTTTATTTCTAAGGGACCAGATCACATGACAAGACCTCCTACGTGCTGCTGGCGGCCCGTGCCCCTGCATGTGTCACGGAGCTTGAGCTCGGAGTCAACTGAACGACCTGCTGTCCATGCTGAGCGCCACACCCCCTGCAGAGCTTGACTGTAATTCCCTCTAGGAAGAAGTTGTGGACTTTCCTATTACACTTTTTCCTGTGATCTCCTGAGGCACTCAGGTTCCACTTTTGATTTCTTCAAATATTTGTGTTTCTACCACGGGACAAGCACTGGAGATCCAAAAAGGAGAGGCAATTCCGGCCCCTCTCCCAGGCCTTCAGCACAGAGAAGCGAGGTGGACCTGCTCAGTGCCAGAAGTCTGAGCAGCCTGTCCTGCTTGGGCTACACAGATTGGGTGGTGAACCTGAGGTGGCCTTTTAGAGACTCTGGGAGGTGGGGCAGGCCTTTCGGGACAAACCGAGCAAGACAAGACTCAAGGACAACAGCCAGGTTGTGCGGGACTCGAACAACAAGCCGAGAAGGTTAAGAATAACAGTATTGCCGGGCGCAGTGGCTCAAGCCTGTAATCCCAGCACTTTGGGAGGCCGAGGCGGGTGGATCACGAGGTCAAGAGATCGAGACCATCCTGGTCAACATGGTGAAACCCCGTCTCTACTAAAAATACAAAAAAATACAAAATTTACAAAAATACAAAAAAATACAAAAATTAGCTGGGCATGGTGGTGCGTGCCTGTAATCCCAGCTACTCAGGAGGCTGAGGCAGGAGAATTGCCTGAACCCAGGAGGCGGAGGTTGCGGTGAGCCAAGATCACGCCATTGCACTCCAGCCTGGGTAACAAGAGTGAAACTCTGTCTCAAAAAAAAGAATAACAGTATTTAGAGCATACTTGCTATGTGCTATATGTCCTATCTTATTTAATTTTCATAAACCACCACGAGGAGTAGGATGTATATTATTATCTCTACTTCAGAAATGAGAAAACTGAGAGGCTTCAGTGAAGACAAACGTGTCTATTCTCGGGACTACACTACCTTAATCTCGAACTCCTGCCCTGGGGTGTGTAATGTGGGGCTCTTATCAAAGTCAGCTGTAAGTCTACCTTGCCTATTATACACGCTGTCATCTTTGTGCAGCTAAGGATAGTATCTGATTTAATTCAAAGACCACCCAGCTTGCACACTGTGATGAAATAGAGATCAGGAGCTCATGAAGGCGGGGGCAGGACGTATTTACCTTGATCTCCCAGAACCTAGAAGCAAGCTCCAACAGGAGCGCTCAGGGTACCAAGAAGGCTCTGCAGACGTTGACATGTGGCCAGCCCTTACCAGCTGTGTGACCTTAGGAAACTCACTTGTCCTTTCTGTGCCTTAACTTTTTCACCAAGCTACGACTGTATGTTCCTCGGTGAACCAAAAAAAAAAATGTTTTAATCATATTTAAAAAGCTAGGAAGCAATGAGTTTCCACAGCGTGACTTTCCAAGGAACAAGGTCACGCGCTTCAGGGAGAGCCGCTCAAACATCAGACGCTGCATCCCATACAACCCCTACCCACGACCCCCAAACCGGCGGGGCCTTCAGTCTAAACGCGGAAGGGTTAACCAGCAGCTGTCCAGGGCGCCGCCCGCGGTGACTGACTCCGCCTGACGCGGCTGGAGGAGTCCCCGAAACGACCCGAGTGCAGGGTCTCCAAGAGGGCGAGTTTCCAGGTCTTTCCAGCCCAGAGAACAGCAGAAGCTTTCGAACTACAGAGCTAGTGCCGTGTCCCTGTCACGACCTCCGCCACTCAGACGATAAAACCGACGCAGAGAGACAGACGCAGCCGGCCCGCGAGCAGCGTGGGGCCCAGATCCTGCCGTCCGGCGCCCCCCGCGCCCCCGCCCCCCGCCGCTGACCTTCCTGAGGGCCCGCGCGCGGGACACCCCGGGCAGCCCCACGTCGTGGCGCGTCTTCCGGCCCAGGATCTGGAACTTCTGCCTGTTGACTTTCACCTCGAACGGATTGGAGCTGGCCTTCGCCGGGCCCCCTCGCGCTCCCGCCGGCGCCCCTCGCGCCTTGACCTTCTTGGCCTTCCCCATGGCGCCCGCCCGGTTGCACCCAAGGCGCCGAGATCCTAGGAGACGCGGCGCGCGACACCCCGAAACACGTGCCGGGCCGCGGATGAGCCTCCCTGCCTCGTCTCGCGAGAATTGCGCAGCGCCTCGGAGCTCGCGAGAAATGAACACCGCGCCCGTAGGCTTTTGCTCGACTTACTTGCTGATAGGCTCAGCGACTATAAATCCCGGCAGGCTACGCGCCGCGGCCCGCCGCGTACTCCCGGCGCAGGGCCTTCTGGGAGCTGTAGTGCCCCGGGCGCGGCGGCGAGGGACGCTCCCACTAGAGCTAAGCCGTTGGCTCCGAGCCTACCCCGGTGCGGGTCGCGGCGGCGCCCTTGCCGGTGAGCCCCTGCCTGGGGTGGGCCTCGGCATTGACTCGGGGCTGCCCGGGGGCCCGGCCCTGAGGAGGGAGTTGCGCGCGCAAGGCGAGGGCCATGGGGCCGAGAAGAGCCGGGGCGACAGCGCGGCGCCGGTGACAGCTGGGACCCGCCGCCGTCGAGCTGCCCCCTCCCCTCGCCCCGACCGCTCCCCTGCTGGCAAGGGCCGGCGGCGGCGGCGGCGGCGGCGGCGGAGCCCCTGGTGGCAGTGGTGGCGGCGGCGCCCGTGGTGGCAGTGGTGGCGGCGGAGGCGGAGGCAGAGCCGGCAGCCGCCCCCCTGGTGGCAGTGGTGGCGGCGGCGGCGGGCCAGCCCCCCGGGACCGTGTCCGGGGCCGGAGAACCGGGCGGCGCCCGGCGAGCTATGCGCGGAGGCGGCGGCGCCTCCCCGTGTTCCGCCCGGTCAGTCTCCTGGGTTTCGCAGAATCCGCCGGCGGCGGCGGCGGCGCCGGGACATGGAGCTTGAGAACATCGTGGCCAACTCGCTGCTGCTGAAAGCGCGTCAAGGTGGGTGCGCGGCAGGCGCCCCCATGGCCCCAGGGAGCCCGGAATCCCGGGGACCCCTGGCCCGGCTGAAGGAACCCGACATCCCCGGAGAACCTCGATTTCCCGGGAGAGCCCCGACACCTCCCGCTGGGGGCACTCAGATCCGCACCCAGCCCGAGCCGGGGTCTGGCGGTGCCGTCAGGCTGCCCTGGCCAGGTCCCCAGTCCGCATCTCCGGGCCCAGATGAGAGAAGCTCTTGGTAGTCTGGCCCTGTGTCCTGGTCCTGTCCTCTAGCTGTGACCTCGGTGACAGTGTTGCTTCAGCATCGGGCAGGCAGTGTCCTGCAGGTGTCGGACAACCTGGCCCACCGAAAAAGAACCGCGTCTTTATGGTCTTCAGGCGGACAAAAAAGAGCACCCTGGAAACCATTCTGGGCGAGAACCTTCCGTGAACGACTGTAGGACAATGTTATTTTTAAGACAGCTGCTTGGTTTTGAGGTTTGATCTGAGGCTTTATGGTGTGTCAAGTGTGCCTTAGCACAACGTGGTGACAGATGGACAAGCTGGCAAGCATTCACCCTTTTATCAGTATGAAGGTATCAGTTGGCCAACGTTTCACCAGGAGACCCTCGCAATCCTCTGTCTCAGACCTCCTGTCTCCGTTTCTTGCCTCTCAAGAGAACAGGCAACAGAGCCTCCGACCTCAGGTTTCCGTGCCAGCCACAGTGGTTCCACACCCCTTCCCTCTCACAGAATTGGGGGCTTCTTCCATTTCCTTGCGTGATGGAGCAGCTCTGCTGGAACCCTGTGCTCCAGGACGGGGTAAATGCCAACTCAAGGTGCCACACCAGCCAGCCTGCATATTTAAAAGACAGTCTGGAGTCAGGGGTGGTGGCCTCACAGATAGACCCAGCCACTCTGGAAGCTAAGGTGGGAGGATCGCTTGAGCCCAGGAGAGTCCAGCCTGGGCAAATACAGCAAGACTGTCTTTTTAAAAAAGTTGAAAACAAGGCCGGGCGCAGTGGCTCACGCCTGTAATCCCAGCACTTTGGGAGGCTGAGGTGGGCAAATTATGAGCAGGAGTTTGAGACCAGCTTGGCTAAAATGGTGAAACCCTGCCTCTACTAAAAATAGAAACAATTAGCTGGGTGTAGTGGCAGGTGCCTGTAATCCCAGCTGTTCGGGAGGTTGAGGCAGGAGAATCACTTGAACCCGGAGGCAGAGGTTTCAGTGAGCTGAGTGCGCCAATGCACTCCAGCCTGGGTGACAGAGTTGAGATTCGATCGAAAAAAAAAAAAAAGAAAAGAAAACAAGTTGAGAGCAAATACTTCACCTTCTCAGTATTTTTGTGTACCTACTCACACTACTTTGAATGGAAGAACTGAGAATGCGGGGGGAAGAGAATGGGATCTTTTTCCCTTAAGACACCTAGGGAGTCCCAGAGCGCCGTACGTTCTCATCAGACTCGTTTCAGTGGAGCACTCGACTGTGCCTCTTGTCCCTCACTCTGAACTCCAAACTGGTCATGGAAGAGAATCATCCTTAGTGGAAGCCAGATTGGAGCTCAGCCAGTTTTCTTTTTACACTACCTTCCTATCGGCATATAATTTACGAAAAGGAATTCTACCAAGCTGACTTCCTTATAATGCTACAGAGATTAGGTAATGAGGTAAATATAAGTGCTCTATAAATGCTAGGCAACGTAAAACCAGATTCTGCCACAAAGCCTAGGACCACAGTGATGTTTGAAAAACAAAAGTTTTACTTTCTTTCCCTGAAATATCTCATATTAGCTCTGTGGTGTGTGATTATGAGGTCTGCCTCATTGAGAGAGCATTTGCTCCTGTGTTCAAAAAGTCATTAGGTACAGTTTGATTAATGGTTAGAGAAGTTGAACACATAGTATTAGAAATGTATGGACATATGCTGAGTGTTCATTATAATTTAGGGCTGTTTTTCCAAGTCGATGTCTGCATTTGTTACTTGCAAGTATCTCCCAGGACGTACCAGGAGGTGTCTTCTTGGACACGGAACTATTCGTGGACAGACAGCTTCTTGTTTAGCTCCTTTGGCTCATGTACTAGAAAATTCACCTTTGAAATGAATGAACATAGCACAAGAGTTACATTCTAGTCCTGAGAAGTGCAATGTCGATTTAATATTATTAGTGAGCCTGGTCATGTCCTGGATTTATTTCAAATGGAGTCAGTCAGTCTTAATCCCCCCAGCCTCTGGTCCTCCCTATGGTCTGAATGTTTGTGTTCCCCCAAAATTCTGATGTTAGAGTCTTAGGTACGAAGGTGATGGAATTAGGAGGTGGGGCCTTTGGGGGGTGATTGTGTCGTAAGAGAGGAGCCCTCGTGAAGGGGATTATTGCCTTTATAAAAGCAAGTGGGGAGATACCCCTCACTCCTTCCACCATGTGAAGGACTCAGAAAGAAAGTACCAGCTGTGAGTCAGAGAGTGGGCCCTCACCAGACACCAAATCTGTCTTGATCTTGGACTTCCTAGCTGCCAGAACTGTGAGAATTGCTTGAACCCAGGAGGCAGAGGTTGCAGGGAGCTGAGATTGCACTCTAGCCTAAGCAACAGAGCCAGACTCCATCTCCAAAAAAAAAAAAAAAAAAAAAAAAAAAAAAAGCAGCCCATAGAGGGGATCCTGGGGCCTCCAAACAGTGTGGCCCCACTTCACTGCCTGCTTTTGGGGACCTCAGAAACTTTCCGCTGACAGTTTTCAACCCAGTATGCTGCCCAGACTTTAGTGTCTGTGGATGATCTTCCTGTTAAATGCCTGCGGCCCCCTGTCAGCCACCGTTGACCTCGCCATGGTCCCGTGAGTCCTTGTACTCTGCGTCACCTTGCCCATTCCTTTACCTTCCGGTCTGCTTGTGTTCGCGTAGTATCGACAGCGCAGCCGGCCCGCCTGGAGCGTGACCGGGCCTGGGCAGAGCAGCAGGAGAGTGCTGTGCCAGTGGAGACTTTTGGAACCAAGGACCGTTAAACGAGGGGTAGAGTGGCTGCTAGGGTTCAGCACATGTGCCCTGAACCTGTGGGGAGGGCCCCCTTCTCTCTCTCTTTAACCTGTGACACTCTGTCCCTTAGACCAAGCCAGGAGGCCTTGTGTAGCTGTGGTGTGCAGCTCTATGCCCCAGCTCTAGTAATATTTTGTGGGGATCCCATGTTTAGAGGTACGCAGTGTGTGCACTGCTGTGTGTGTTTGTTATTACTCTTAAAAAAGTTTTTTTTTGAGACAGGGTCTCACTCTGTCACCCAGGCTGGAGTGCAGTGGCGTGATCTTGGCTCTCTGCAATCTCTGCCTCCCAGGCTCGAGCGATTCTCTTGCCTCAGCCTCCCGAGTAGCTAGGACTACAGGTGCACACCACCATCCCTGGCTAATGTTTGTATTTTTTATAGAGATGGGGTTCCATCATGTTGCCCAGGCTGGTCTCAAACTCCTGACCCAAAGTGATCCGCCCGCCTCGGCCTCCCAAAATGCTGGAATTCCAGGCGTGAGCCACCACACCTGATCTTGTTATTTGCTCTTCAAACAAGTAAGTGCAGAGTCAGGTGCTGGGTGCTGAGTTCTCTCCACCGCCTCACCAAAGCCACCCCTGCCAAGTCGCAGGGATCAGTTCTTGGTCCTTGTCTTGCTGCCCCACGGGCTGCGCCGGGTGGGTTGTGCTTGCTTCCAGAGCGCGCTCTTCCACATCATCACCCTTCCCGTTCCGCTGCTGGGCTGGTCCCCCAGGCAGTCTAGCCTTTATCTTCTAGACCTTTAAATATCAAATGCCCCCCATCCTCATCCAGGGACTTCGCACCTTCTCCATCCACCCTTGCTCCCTTGTGCTCTTGTAGTACCGTGGCTCGAAACAAGCTACTGTCTCTCCAGTCCACGCCTGTGGGCTGGGCCTCTCCACTCACGTTGCGGCTCACTGTGCTGCTGCCTACCTGACATCATCATATGGAAGCCTCATTGGTACCAGAAAGGGCCTACACCAGGCCCCGAATACTCACCCAGCACCCCGATGTTTGTGCCTCAGTTAATGCTCAGTTAGTGGAGCTGCCCTTGACTTCCTCACACCCCGACTCTCAGTCCTTGGACAGCGTGTTCAACCCTCGCTTCACAACGCAGCAGAATCCACCTTTCCTCACCTTCCCCACGGCGATCACGTGGCTCAAGCCGTCAGCATCTCACCTGGAATGCTGCGGCCAGCTTCTGCCTTTTCCACCCGACAGCGTGTTCTCAGCACAGCAACCAGAGCAGTCCCACAAAAATTTAAGTCAGATTGTGTTGGCCCCTCTGAACCCTCTTCA